ATATATTTGTTTATTTTTAGGCTACAACTGGAATGCTTACAGATTTAGTAAATGAAACCAAGATCTTATTCTTAAGAGCTCGTGATCCTTCACATTTAGCCTGGCTCCAATTGGCAATGTTAGTGGCTCCGAGATTTATCCAGAGTAGCAGGACGATCAGTTTTCTTAAATCAAAAATCAATTCTTATTATGCAGACCATCGAATGCGCTTGAATACTGAAATTAGGGCATATGGCGAGGATTACATTCATAATAATTCGTAAGTATTAACATGATTTTTTGTATACATTTGATATTCAACTATTTGTCTTAATTCATTTCTTATTTTAGAATCATTCTCGATAATATACCAACAATCGAAAATTTGAAGTTATATGTTGATAAAACATGTATATATCAATGTTTCAAAACTTCAATGACACAAGTGCCAGAGGATTGGTAGGATGAGAATCTTACTGATGTTGAAACATTCTGATTATTTATTGCTTCTGCTATAAAGATCCATATGAACAACATCTTAAAATGTTCTATCAATTCACATCTTAGTAATGCACTAGTCCTAAATGAAGTTAAATCTCTCGATTATATAACAAGTCAAGTACGTCTTCCACATATTCATACAACTAACTTTGCTAATCAAATTAATCTCAATCCTGAAGCTGGTCAAATTTCAAGTCGTCGAGGTCGAGGTCGAAGTCGTGGTAACAGGTTTACTAAAGGAGCAAGGCATCATCTTAGTCACTAAATTATATTTATTTATTGTTTTTACTACTTATATATTGCAAATATAAAAACATAGCAAATACTTAGCGTTAGATTTTATAAATACAAGTATTATGATAATTTATTTCACAATGGATTATCAAATATATATATGATATTATATATATGTATAATCTTTTTAAAAAATCTCACAATACATTTTTAAATATATATGTAATCCTTCTAAAATTTTATAATACATTGTCAAATATATATACGATCTCTTTTTAAAATTATAATGGTTTGTATAACAATTGTCTATATATTATACAATACAATTAGAAAATTTATCCTTGATAGTAAAGTAGTTCATGAAACATTTTGTTATTTTCTTTATGGTTGTTGATCAAGACTCAAAGTTGCTCGTTAGTCTACATTATAAAAGCTTTTTATTTTTTTGGGATTTAGGTCTCTAGAGACCATGGTATTATATATTTTTCTTAACTATATTATTGCAATTACGTGGAGAGGGAAGTGGTAGAAACGCAAAAGACAAGTCATTACATATTGAATGACTATATATTGTGAATGTGATTTAGAATCATGCAGATAACTACTGTGAAATAATTTTAACCAAAGTCACGTAGAAGTGATTACGTTAAGATAGTCTAAAAATTGCATCATAACAATTTTTAAGAAATACTGCGTCAATACCGTATTAAATAATATATTGTATTATTAGATTTGAAAAAAATACCATATCATTACCGTGCCATTACCATGAAATTGCGTAATATTAATTCTGCCTTCCTATATTACGCATTAATTCCGATTCACTGAATAAAAAATTCACGTGATTTTGGGCGATCTAAGGTCGCTGAAATTTTGATAAGAAAAATGATCACATAATTTGGGCGAACATTGTTCGCTGAAATTTGCCAAGAATATTTTATTATTCAATATATGCTTCATATAAAAATATGAATGTATATTTGCAAAATCGACCGCAAGGATCTGATACAGTAAAAAATAAAAATACATGATAAAAAATGTTAAGGAATTCTAGTTATTTTGCATAGGTGAAGAAATTGTAGAGTTTTTTTCTACATTCTGATTTGATCTTTTTAAAGGTGCATTATACAGTATACTTATATTAATGATCAGAATATTTCGTAATATTAGTAATGTTTCTACGAATTTTTCTACAATGGATAGATCTGATAGTTAAACTGGAATTTCTGATTTATGAAGATAATAATATCGATGAACCTCACTCATATCCCTTATAAGAACGCTCAAACATAATTTTTTTCCAGCTATCTGTACTTCGATAATGCCAAATTCATTCTTATCAGGCTTATAACTTTATGAGCCCAGTATATCCCATCATTAATCTCACGTTACAACTTCAATTGATTATTTCTTTTTTTTTTTCATCGTACATGACAAGCGAGAGCATTCAGTAAATAAAAGTTCATAATTTTTTCCATTGTGTTTCATTACATACATAACATCTGGCCGTCTCCCAGATCGTTCATTAGCTTTTCTATCTGCACTGGCACTACTTTGACTTTCAGAACTGCTAACGAATGTGGTTTTTTCTAGAGGAAGATTCTTCAATGTTGCTCAGAAGGCCAATACTATCACATTGGTTACGTAAGTACCTTCATTTAGGGAATTCACAAAATTCATTCTAAATGCTGGATTATTTCAAGAATCACTTCTAATATTCATAAAAAATATAAGCAGTGAGCAGGAAATAACTAGATATTACAAAAAATACCTACAATGTGTTCAAAATTCTCTCTGCAACTATTGCGAGCTCATTCTCTATTTCCTTTTATATCTCATCATGTATAAGTTTTCTTGGTAAATCAATTTTACAATTCTCAATGAAAGTAGTAACAAATTCATTACATTTCCTTTTCACTGCAGACGGGAGAGATGAAGGTACCATTTGTCATGCTGGTTTCATAAAAATATGCTTAAATTGTCCTGGTAGATTTTGTACAATTTCCAACTTGTCAGAAATTATTTGACTAGCTAGAGAGTCCATCTATGATAATTCAGAAATATTTACACTATTTATACCATAGTATAGATGCTGGTTAATCAGCATTTTGTATTTTTCTTGAGTTTGGCCTTCAACTCATTTATATTTTTCTTTATCTTATTCGTGTTTAGAGGTATCTCTTTATTTGTTTTGACCGCTCCTATATCACACAAACTGCAGACTCCTTCAAAAGCGATTTTAAACTAATATTAATAGATTTCCCTTAAAAATATATCAGCAAAACATAATGAAACTGTGATCACTTTCGATCTTATATGTTGATCAACTCACTACTATGGATGGAACTCACTTGTTCACAGCCTTTGACCTGAATAGGATTTATGACTCCGTATTCTATAGTATTAAATGGTTCAAATAATTGGAGTCGCAACTCTTAAACAGTACTTTGAATAGACTACTACTCAATAAATGCTCCCCTCACACTTCACTGATCAAGGCACCAACCCAACCAACCAACTTTAATACTTCAGCAACCAACCCAACTTTTGTTACAATTTGATCTAACCAGTACATGACATTTATATTAGGCAAAGTAGTCAAAGTCAAAGATACTGTCATCCACGCACAATATTACTTGCCAAATCAAGCTGATTGCCTATAAACACCCATTGCCCCTTGTACTAGATGTAATCTCTTTGACCATTCAGCCTTTATACCTTACAAACAACAACAACGCCATCATTTTTGTGCTATCAAACTACCCAAATCATTTTGTTCTACATTTAAAACTTTTCACAAACCCCGCGAGGGATGGTGGTATAGTCTTTCTCACCTAATGCTTCATGAAGTAGCTTTGTCTACATTGACATCTCCTTATCAATATCCAACCAAACTTTTACCTAGTTTAGAAGTTATCTCCTTTGATCAAACATCTATTAATAAATTAGACTGTCTTAAATCGCAATTTACTAATGCCAATTTACTTCAATTTTATACAAATAGTTCTCTTACATCCTTAGGATCTCCTGAATGCCGGATGGGAATAGCGTGGTTATAAACTGACCAAAATTGGCCTTTGCTCTCCTTTAATGCAACATTTATTTCACACTCTCCTTCTTCAACATTAGCAGAAATAGTTGCTATTCTAGCTGCAACATACACCGCTTCACTAAATTCTAACATTGAAATCTGCACAGATTTACAAGCTGCAATTGCTTCATATCACAAAATCATCACCATATGTGAGGAATCTCCCTCTCTAAACCCTGCCTTCAAAATTCCTTATTTTCATATTTGGATGATCTTGATACAACTTATTACATCCAACAATATTGTGTTGTCGCTAACAAAAGTCAAAGTTTATGGATCAGATAAACTTAACAACAAAGTAGATGCTTTAGCTAAACAACTTTTTGGTGCTCCTTTGAGTATTAACAGCAACCACCTCGGTCTCAAATACTTTATGAGCTATAATAACATACCAATCATTACACCACCACATTTATTTATCAAATACATGCAACAAGCATCTTAGGCTGGAATACTTTTGTCCCTTCCCCAATTTGCAAAATATCACAATTTTCACATTGATTGGCAAACTCTCTTTTACATCCTTAATGATTCAGAAAATGCTAGGGTGACATCGTTCAATGCGTGCAAACGGAAGCAATTCAAAATCAAATTGTTATTACAATTACTCTTCACTTTTACAATAATGAATGCACGATATCCCCAAATCTATACCACTAATATCTGCTTCTGGTGCAATACTGCAACTGAAGACTTTGATCACATTTGGTCTTGTTCCCAAAATACAACTTCTTTTACTGACTTAATACAAAAACACAAACAGTCTTTCTTGTCTCACCTCAAAGAGCTCAATAGACCTAACAATGATACTCTAATTGATGCTATTGATCAATCTTCAATTTGGTATTGCAACTCTTTCAATGACAACTTATGTTTTATGGATCTCATTAAAGGAATCATCCCCTCATCATTTTCCTCCTTAATCACTTCCGTCACCAATAACAAACAACTCACCCAAGATTTATTATCACTCTTATTTGATGATATCTTCTCCTCAGCTCACAACATATAGTTGACACGATGTATATTACTACAAATTTGAAAACTGTAAATAATATCAAAGACGATTTTAATGTTGCTTGGGTCTCCTCTGGATTCCCACAACCTACACAAACTCTGCATAATAACCTTTTCTTTTTTTCTGCAGCCCTTGCTTTTAGTTTTTACTGGTCAAATTTTTAGTGCGACAGTAACCATGTCCTCCCTTCTGAACGTTCGATATTTGTACCTTAGTTTAGATTATTTTCTTTTCTTTTCTAATATATAGTTTAGTTCGGTAAAAGTGCAAGGTTGGTATTGATAAAGTAGTTTAGTTTTCTAGATTAGTTTATAGATATTTTTGTATTTTCTGTTTTATTTTGTTTTTTTTGTAATTTCATAAATATTAATAAAGAT